GACACTCAGCTGAAAGCCAGTAGGGTCTTCGTGGTGGTCTCTACCTGTCACAGTTAAAGGTTTATGATGCCAGATTTGGCCCTTGTGGTTCACAGCTCTTGTAAAAATCTGTGAGGTCACCTCTCTAAAAACACACACAGAGACTTTATCTCTTTTCCATGAGGTTACAAAACACACATGCATAATTACTCTCACTCAACCTATCTCTGACTATCCTGCATCGTTTGCATCTAACATGCACGGTTGCACAGACCAGGCTTAAACCTACACTAAAATGCATATTTGAGCTGTTTTTTGATCTTAAAATATGTCAGTGCCATTGTTGTGTCCTGGTTTAATCTAAGCCCTGTCTGTGAAACCAAGCCTTAATAAATGGGCTCAGCAATTTTAATTATAATAGCTAACGTTCTAAGAGGATGGAAGCCGATTGTGACTCTCTGAAATACATTATTTTATGCAGTAACAGTCAATTTCAAACTTTCTACAGATTACATTGCTCCGCCAGTAGGTGTCAACAAGTGACTGTATGAGTGAATCATTGAATAGGTAATTCAACCGATTTATTAAACAACAAAATTCATTAGGTGTGTGCGACTTGAAGTGGCACTGCTCAGGCCGATCAGTGTTTGACATCAAAGTACATCGAAAACCATTCGAAAGCATACCGTATCCTCTCTAAACGCTCTCTTGGAGCTTTGATGTGATAAATCGATTAGTTTGCGAAGTGCCGAACACACCTGCGTCCGAAAACTTTGGCTGACTTCTAAGGCAGTGTCACGGTTTAATGATCTACAGCAAAATAGAGAAAGCTTAGGTGAAAACTAAGCTATTATAGTCATTTCTTGCTAGAAATGACATCAAAAGTGAAAAACGGTCCGAAAACTTACTGTGGCGAGCATGACGAGGCCGAGGGCCGTCAGAGAATGATATAAAGTAAGAATTGCGAGATATAAAGTCAGAATTGTGAGATATAAAGTCAGAATTGCGAGATATAAAAGTCAGAATTGCAGAATTGCGAGATATAAAAGTCAGAATTGCGAGATATAAAAGTCTGAATTGCGAGATATAAAGTCAGAATTGCAGAATTGCGAGATATAAAAGTCAGAATTGCGAGATATAAAAGTCTGAATTGCGAGATATAAAGTCAGAATTGTGAGATATAAAAGTCAGAATTGCAGAATTGCGAGATATAAAAGTCAGAATTGCGAGATATAAAGTCAGAATTGCGAGATATAAAGTCAGAATTGTGAGATATAAAAGTCAGAATTGCGAGATATAAAAGTCAGAATTACGAGATATAAAGTCAGAATTTCGAGATATAAAGTCATTATTGTGAGATATAAAGTCATAATTGCGAGATATAAAGTCATAATTGCGAGATATAAAGTCATAATTGCGAGATATAAAGTCTGAATTGTGAGATATAAAAGTCAGAATTGCGAGATATAAAGAATTCAATCAAAGTCAGTCATGCCACCGGCCTTGCGCCATTCCCTCACGGCCCTCTGCCTCGTCCTGCTCTCCACACTTATATTTACACACACTGACCACCAACCGCAACATTCAGATGCCATCTTTTATTTTTGACTTAACTGTCATGGAATGGATTGTGGGATATCAAAAGCTGCGAAGGATACAAGGTAAATAGCGATCAGATCTCAGGAGACAGAAAGTGAAGCTAACATTGAATTCGGACGTGCCTCGATGCCTTCATAGTCCATGATGATGATGTCCATGTCTTTCTTTCTTCAGTCGAAAAGAAATTAAGGTTCATTTGGAACTTTCGTGTCATTTGGTTCATTCAAAACTTCGAGTCATTTGGTTCATTCAACGAACGAAATTAACGAAATGACTCGAAAAAAGATTTGTTCATTTTGATGAACGAGTTCGAACAGAAGAGTCACGAACGTGCATCACAGAACAGAGCAAGGCGAGCATTTGTGCTTTTTTATGAGCGATCGTTTCTCTATATAAGACCCTTATTCATCGTCTGGTGTCGTTTAAAGCCCTTTGAAGCTGCACTGAAACTCTCATTTGGACCTTGAACCGTTTGATACCCAGTGAAGTCCATTATATTGAGAAACATCCTGGAATGTTTTCATCAAAAACCTTAATTTCTTTTCGACTGTAGAAAGAAAGACATGGACATCTTGGATGACATGGGGGTGAGTAAATTATCAGCAAAAGTTTTTTTTAAAAGTGAACTACTCTTTTAACACTGATTTATTCAGGAAAAGAGTGGCTGCGTGTATGAATGAATCATTGAATCATTTCATTTAACCAATTGGTTCAACAACATAGGAACGCCATTACTCGCGTGTTGCATGGAAATCCAGAGTTGTAACGGATTCTTCTTTGGCTTAATTTGGAACTATTACAAAGATAAATTTACAAAGCGACTAAAATTCTAAATATTTTATGGAACTGTTGTGTAAAGCAAGATCACTACAATCGTTCTGTGCGTTTTTCAGCAGTTTTTCAGATTTGTGTGATTCAGCAGCCTATTTTCCCCTAGTGTGAGCGTGTGAGAACCGCTATTTTGGGAGGGAAAGTTTAAGATACCATCTTCCTTAGCTGTCACGAAGGGAGGAAAATATCCCGATATCAAAGCTAAATTGGCCTTTCTGAAAAGACCCTTTATGACGGATGGCGCTCTGGCCCCCTTTTCTCTTAAAAGGGAGGGATTTACACTTACTCTTCTGTAAAACAGCAGTGAAATTTAGCTGGGAAAACAAATGAAGAGATAGTCTTTGAAAAGCAATCCCTCTCTCAGCGGTCTGACCCCCCTGTCGCTCGGGCAGACTGATGAAAGATTCCCTCCTCCTTCCCCTCCTTCCATCGCACGCAACTCTCGGGAAAACCTGAGAGGAGGAGAACAGGGCCAGGAAGACAGATGGAAGGAGGTGGTGAGACGAGAGAGGACAGGAGATGCAGAACGAAGGAACAAGATAAGGAATGAAATGTTCTCGGGATAAACAAGCAGGTGACAAACTTAAAAGTGTTTTATGTGCGCCATAGCGTTAACAAACGGTTATGCAAAATGAATTCCTGAATTCAAACATCCCCAGATTGTAATTTTCATAAAGTGATATTTTGATTGGTTATTGCTTAATTTTTAAAATAAAGAAATAAAAGGTTTACTGAAATATATTAAGTAACCAAATATTTATTTAATTGTAACAGTAAAAATGATATGATCAAAAAGTTATGACATCATAATTATAAGTTTTAAACTTTTCTAAGTTATAAAAGAGTCAACTTTATATTTTAAGTCAGTTTAATGTAATTTAAGTTGAAATGACTTAAACATCCAAGTTGATTGTACTTAAAAAAGGCAGCAACTTTTTTTATATATAATATAAAATAAAATGAAATAAAAAAAACAAATTTTTTTTCTATGTTACAAAAGTAATTCATACATTACAAAAACTTTAAAACATAATAATAATTCATAGGAAATATATATATATATATATATATATATATATATATATATATATATATATTCAAGGAAAAAACTGTAAGAAATATATGCCGGTAAGAAATATTTATGACTAGTGATTTTTTTCAATTGAATTAATTTCTATCCAGCTGAAGGTTCCTGGAGGTTCGAACGCTGTTTCTCCACACACGGTGTGAATGAAGGCCTGGATCTCGGCCAGCTCTGGTTCTCAGTTGATTTATGCTGGTCTCTATCAAAACATCAATGCTGAGAGCTTTTGGGCTTGTCTTCACGAGCACCTGCAGGCTGCTTTCTGCCTCTTTAAGTCTTTGAGAAGTTTAATGTTTAAGCATTTTAGTCATGAAAACATCAAAGCTGGTAATGAAGGGCTTCTCGCTCTTCAAACAGCCATCAATCGCAGGGTAATCATAATCCTGCGAGTGTGTAGAGCGGCCGGCAGAGATTAACACACTGCCTCACATTCCTTACGGCTGACTTCACCCCCTCAGACTTTACCTTACAAAACACATTTTACGTGGCTTAAGCATTTCTCATGACGGTTTCAATGGGAAGAAAATGCTTAACGTGTTATTAATCGTGTTGCGTTGATATTCTGGACTCATCTTATTTTTTTATACATAGTATGGTTTATTAATATGATGTGTACTGAATTTGGTCTTTTAATATCACTGTACAGTAAGCCACGTTAAGCGTTTTTCACGTTAAGCGTTTTAGAATGTCCCGGAAATACGCAATTGTCGTGGTAATCTTCTTCCGCTCCATTCATAACAGATAGCGTCGCAGGCAACTAGTAAGAGTTTGTTGCGTACCATCTTTTTGTTATTCCCAAAAGCAGCCATACCTGTCGTTTTCATTCCTTCCCTCGTCAGTTCCCTGTCGATGAAGTTCGACGGAAATGGATTCAGGCAATCTGGCGGGATGTTATTGATCCTGTGATCTTCTGTACTTATCATGTCACCATTCACTAAGCCGTCATTGTTTATGTTTATTTTTTATGTTTTATGATTTGTGTATTTTGAAGTAACGTTAGTTCATGTTCAACTTTATTAAAATATTTGTATCCAGCGGAATAAACACATAAAAATATACATCACAATATAAAATAAGATAAATAAGAACACACAACAGTGGGCTACATATAAATTTAAAATATTAATATATACCATTCTGAGTATTTAACAATCTGAGGGATAAATTAATATTTGTATAAATTGTTCTTCATCTTTGATCGTTCTACAGCAAGAGCAATGCAAAAAATTAACGGATAACTGTTGAATAAAACTGACAGACTTCTTTCTGGTATTCACATCAAAATGCAGTTTATTGTAAATAATAGTCCCTAAATATTAATAACTTTCCACACACTCCACCTTCTTACCTTTAATGAACGTATATTGGGAAGAATAAGCTTCAGTTCTGAAATCAATAGTCATATCTTTGGTCTTAGATACATCAGCTGCAGACATGCATCACCACAGCATTTTACAAAGTCATCAACAACTGGACCATGACAAGTTTACATTTTTTCGAAGTTTTGAAGACTCTCTGATCTCTTCCCAGGGTAGGTTTTTCTGATGTGTTAACAGTTGACGGGAACTAAGCTTCCACAACGATGACGTATTTCCGGTTTTTGTGAAAAAGGTCTGGGCACTCCTGTAAAAAATAAAGTGGGTGAAACTTCCGGTGAGGCGGCGGAAGTAGCATTCCAAAGGTATTTTGTGTGTTATTTAGCGAAGAGGCTAGCTGTTTTTCGGGGAATTATTTTAATATTTAAAGACGCAAATCTTTATGAGAGATGTCGTTACGGAGCTCAGGGACGACATGTGCTGTTCGCGGACTAAACTAATTCAGTGGCTTAAACGTGATTGTTTTGAACATAATCTGAAAACGAAATCAGAGTGATCCTGCCAACGACTGTAGTTTCCATCACCTCCCAAAAGACGACGAATCTTCCTGTGTACATTTGTTTAAATTCTTAATGTTCTATAAACTCTCTCAGCATGTGATTGGCTGTTCGCTACTGATGTTACAGCTAAACTCAGGATCAAAGCCTGTGTTGACACTTGACAGAATACCAAATGTGTCAGTTAATGTATTCAAGTAGCACATTCATTTATAATTTTGAATAAACTCCAAAGCACAATGACTAAGTGTGTATTTTATTTTAATTGTTTGTCAGCTCACACAACTGTCTGTCACCATGGCTTGATGAGTATTGATTATTAATAATGTTATTATAATACTCCCAACCAACTACTTGCGAGGGTAAAGGTACTGTTATTTCACCCTTTTTAATTTCGTTGAGGTTGTGTTCCCACATCGTTAGCTAGTTTGGATCTCTATAACTTGAATGACTGTCAACTGTTGAATGAACGAGTGTCAAGCATGTCAAGTCGCGCTTTGTTTACTACTAACCGGAAGACGCACCCACCCCACAAGGCCTCATGGGGCGTAGGAAACATGTAGATTGCATCCAGTAAACACAGCTCTTTCTTCCAAATCCTCCATGCTGATTTCCCCATCTAAAAGAACAGCACATATAATTCAGGGAGTTGAATGAATCACAATAGTTAAAACTAGATAAAAAAGTTTGTATACAAACTTTAAGATGGCTTTAAAAAAGCCTAGACAGAAAGTTTGAAGTAGTTTTTCAGTTTTAGTTTAGCATTAACAACTTGGGGTTGCTAAGTTGTTGCTATGCGGTTGCTTGTGTATTCTGGGTGGTTGCTAGGGTGTTGCTATATGGTTGCTATGGTACTATGGGTGGTTGCTCAGGATGTGCTACTGTATGTGGTTGCTAGGGTACTTGAGGTGGTTGCTTGCTAGGGTGATGCTGTGAGGTTGCTGTGGTACAGTATGCTGGGTGGTTGCTAGGGAGTTGCTAAGGTACTCTGGGTGGTAACTAGGGTGTTGCTATGTGGTTGCTAAGGTTTTGGGGTGGTTTATAGGGTGTTGCTATGCAGTTGCTAGGGTATTCTGGGTGGTTGCTATGAGATAGATGGATAGATGGATGAATAGTTAGAGAAGAAATGGGTAGATATTAGTTAGAATGAAAGAAATATTAGTACGAAAGAAAGAAAAATGAGATAGAATGGCTTTTAATGGAGACTACTACAGTATGCCTCTTCAACTTACCTCTAGGAAGCTGCTGAAGAAATCAGAAAGGCATCAAAATAGTTAGTGAATATTTCAAGTTTGAATATAAATTTAAATGTAAAGCTGTTAAAAATATTAATAACTTAAATTAAAAAATATATGAACTTTTTCCTTGCTAGCATTTTTAAATAAAATTGCCTTTGGCCCCCAGCATGAATATCTGAGCAATATATATTATTATATATAAGAAAGAACAGACCCTCTGTTTAAAAGAAGAAAAAAAAAGCTTTAATATGGATTCATGCATTCTTTTTTGAATGTCGGTAAGTTTAATTAGAGGCTATTAAAGGCAAAAAACTTCATCTAGATCGGATTCAGAACGATGATCTAAACACAGACGGAGTAGATCGAGCCCATCAACACCCCAAATCTTCACAGTCCCGGTTAGACTTTTCATATTAGGCAGTTTAGATTTATAAGCCGTTTAATGTTGATGATTGTGTTATTTTCCATTCGCATCTGCTTACATATGCTATCATTTTTTATGCTTCTTCTTCGCCTGTGTTTTGATCAGGGGGGGGGGGGTGGGTGGAGGAGTTAAATAGATTAAAGATTAAATAATAAATGCACCTTTGTGGAATTGGTCCTGGTTCGTGTGGAATAGATCCTGGTTCGAGCTGCGCAGAGGAATAACAAACAATAATTATTAAAATAATTATTAATTAAAATAATTATTAAAATAATAATTAAAATTAAAATAACAATAGTTATTCAATAATTTATTAGCAAATAATACATTTATAAATACATTTATAGATTATATAAACTGATTTCTGTCATTTTCCTACCCCCAGGAGCCTGAGTGCAAAATGCAGACAGTTATTTGTCAAAGGATGGTATATCCCCTTATATTCCATAGCATCATCAACTGAGTCAAAGAAATTCTCAGGTATAGGCGTCTTTAGACGGACGACACGGTACTGCTTCTCTCCAATGAAGTTCTTCACACTCTTCATGTTCACTGTGCCAGATTCACTGTTTGATGAATAACTTGTGATTTGATTTTTCTTTGTTACGTTCTCAGGAGCTATCAGAAACAACAAAGTCAACTATTAAGAAAAGGATATTTCTACACCCTTTGTCTGTTCATTTTAACCCCAATACGGACATGATATCTTATTTCAAAGTTAATAAAAATAAATGATTACCTGTAAACTCAATCACATGTTTTCCACAGTAAACCCCAACGTGATAAGGTCCTGGAGGTTTATATATTTTCCTCATTAGAAGGTCTCCAGTTCTGATCCATGATGGCATACCTGTTTCATTTTCCTCAATCATTTCGAACTGCTTATGAGTTCCTTTTAGTAAGAGCAAAATATGTTCCCAAGTAAGCATTTTAGCTCTTAAAGATGGATATCTTTATGTAAAAAATTCGGTCTGTCAACTTTGTCTCTGTCCTTCGCATCTGGTTCTCTTTCAGTTTCCGTTCTGTTTAGTTAGAGCTCATGCTAAAGCCACATATTCATTGTGTTGCCTAGGAGGAACAATACGTTGTTTTGTTTTTTTGGCAGGGGCTCTTCATGTTCTTCTTCAAGGAACACTTTTTCTAAATAAAAAAAAAACCTTTGTGCAAAGAAAGGGTTCTATCAATGACCAATAAATAATCTTTATTTTTAAGAACATAGGTATGTTTTTTTTTTTTAAATGCTATGCAAAAAATATATTCCCTCTTGCTGTGTTGATTGATAAGAAATATCCCAGCTAACAGGGAACATTCCCATTACTTTCACTAACGTTATGTAAAAGTTATGTATAAATGTTAGTAAAAAACATTACTGAAAAATGTTTTTGGAACGTTCTTATAATGTTTATAGAGTTAAAATACATTCTCTTAATGTTGAGAGAAAAACGAAGGAACAAAGTTTTTAGAACGTTCTTGTGATGTTATTTGTTCTTGACTGATGTTCTCATAATGCTGAGTGAAAACATTCTTATAACAATGTTCACTGAACGTTCTTGTGATGTTCTCATAAAGTTGAGTGAAAACGGTTTTTATAACAATGTTCACTGAACTTTTATCTAAATCTTGATCAATTGTTAGGTTTACTAGGTAATACTCAAGGTCCTTCATTACTAGGATATTAGCTGTTTATTAGTACTTAAAGCCAATTTTGTATGCATTATTCTACATCCCTTTACCAGTCCCTAAACATACCAATATTAATAAGCATTACTTAGGAGTTTATTGAGGCAAAAGTCTTAGTAAATAGTTTGTTAATAGCGTGAATTGGACCCTTATTTAAAGTTTGACCGTATTTCATTCTTAAAATAAATTCAATATTGGTAATAGCATTAAGGTAAAAGATCCACAAAAATATGTTTTAAATATGATAAAAATATGTTTGAAATATGATGAGAAAACAATGAGAAAACAGTTTCTCATTTTAATTTTTTCTCCTTTTTCATTTCTTCAACTGTTTTCTCATTGTTCTACTTTCAATATCGAATTAAAAAATAACCGAACGAATGATGTTGTAGCGCACTAAGAGACAACATTATCGGGAAACAAAGCCCAGAAGTTCATCAACATAGTTGATTTCTTTGTGTTCAAATTTCTTGACAACACCTGCAGAGTTTCTCTCAGCTTCATTTCTGTCCCTCTGCATCTATTTCCTGTTTTCGTTTTTTGACTACTTCGAGACGAGACCATGCAAAGGCCACAGTTTCAGTTAGGTTCAGTGTGTGGTTTTTTTGCATGGGGTTTTAGCTGTTCTAATCTTCTTCAAAGGACCCTTTTTTCCGACGTTAAAAATACATCCTTTGTGCAATGGAAGGGTTCAATTGCCAGTAAATAACCTTTATTTTTAAGAATGTACTTGTTTGTGCAAAAATGCCATGTTCCGTCTTGCTATGGGATGTGGAAAAAGAAATAGGCCTACAATATGAATTATTGTAGGCAACTGTACATTGTTATTCTTTATTTCAGACCCAAAAAATACATACAACCTTTCAAGCTTCAAGACACATGAAGTTGTATAATTCTGTAAGACAGCATGCAATGTGCATCAAAGGGTTAATGTTACTAGAATGTTATTTACTGTTATGGCCCCGTAGAAGCAGTTTTAGTGAAAGTAGGCTAACAAATGCATCATACCCACACGACTCTCTGTTGCACAGTATACGAGATTGACAGTTGGTAGTTACCGTATGGACAGAAGAAGCTCACGTGCAATCGGGGAAACGTGGAGGCAAAATGACAAAATGATTAATCAGAATACCTAGCAAAAGTTTCTCCTGCTCCTAGCTCATGGACAGCTCCAACTCATACTCTCCGCCTCTGCATGTTTCGGAAGGGAATGAGATGCATGTTTCGGAAGGGAATGAGAATAAAGATGGGCATTGGCCAGCTTTTTGATGCGCAGCATTTTTCCAAATGAAGCGCCGCCTTCCCGGGATGCTTTGCGGGCACGTTAATGTCGCGTGACGTCACCCGTAGGAATAAAGCGGAGCGCGGTGCGACAGAAGTGCCGCACGCACAAGTGGATCCGCACCCTTAAGGCCAATTTATACTTCTGCGTAGGGTTCGCGCAGTATTAACGGCGTAGCATACGCACAGACGCGTCCCATACCGCGTACCCTTCCGCGTTGCCTGACGCGCACCTCTTCAAAAATGTAACTACACGTCGCGACGACGCGGACCACAAGATCGGTGATTGGTCGGCTTGGTAGCATCGTATTTCCTCATACGCATTTCCGCACGTACCTTCTCACGCATTTCCACACGTACCATCTCCTCCGACGTCTACTCTCATTTCTGCCTTTCAGTTTTAGTAATTTCACTAAAATGAACTGTTTTTCCACCCCAATAAGCTCCAACTCCAACATGATCCACTCTCTTTCAGTCGCTATTGCTTGTAGTAACGCGAGGAATCTAAACACAGTGGAACATTAAAACCCTCCGCCGCCTCCTAGCGTTTCGGAGCAGTACTGCAGAGCAACCAATACCTGAACGCAGAAGTATAAATGCTCACAACGGCGTCGCCTACATGCGAAGCCAACGCCGTACACTACGGCGTACCCTCGACACAGAAGTATAAATTGGCCTTTAGTGTCAGTTAAATGACGCCCTAGGATCACGTGTAACCCTACCCCTACCCCTACCACAGACCTAAACCTGCTTTTCCTTCTGCGTCAGTTAGATGACACCGTAGGATCATGTCATGTAAATGACGCTAAAGGGCGCCTAAAGCATTGAATATTGAAGCATGGTCAAAAGGTGACGCCTTAGGGTGAGAATGCGTTGTTATTTATCTTCAGATCATCTAAGACTGTGCAAGTTGTAGTTTGTGTTCTCTTATTACTCTGTCGAAACATGATTGAAAGAACATTTCCGGAACATCATACTAACCTGTAAATAACATTCTAGTAACATTAACCGTTTGATGCGCAAGCTATGGATACCCCTTCTAATGCACAACATGGGTCTAAAAAGACCCGTATTCATTTTCTGTGTTATTTAATGCATGGCTGGACTTTTCTTTTCTTTTTATCTTTTGAGATCAATTTATTTAAGCATTTAATATTCCATGATCTATAAATCATGATATTCATGATATATATAAATATTAAAAAATATTTTTTTCAATTACCAAAAATAGTTTGTAATTTTTTTCTAGGTTTTGTGTTACTATATCAAATGTACTTATCAAGCATAATAAAACAAAAGAATAAAGACAACATTTTGTTAAATTAATCATCTTAGAAGTAATTTAAACAAAACATTTAACACTTTTATTTGCCACTTTGTCTTGCATAGCATTCACATATCACAGATAACTGATAACACTGAAATTGACAACGCATTCTCACCCCAAGGCGTCACCTTTGACCATGCTTCAATATTTGACGTTTTAGGCGCCCTTTAGCGTCAGTTAGATGACGCCGTAGGATCGCGCCTAAAACGTCAAATATTGAAGCATGGTCAAAGGTGACGCCTTGGGGTGAGAATGCGGAAAAAGGAAAGCGTCAGTTAGAGGACGCGGTTAGGTTTAGGTCTGGGGTGGGGGTAGGGTACACGCGATCCTAGGGCGTCATCTAACTGACGCTTTAGGCGCCCTTTAGCGTCAGTTAGATGACGCCCTAGGATCGCGATATTGAAGCATCCTAACTGACGCCTTGGGGGTGAGAATGGACTGAAATTGAACTGTGGTGTAGTGTAACTGTATTGAATTGTGGTGAATGTGATCAAATAAAAGAAAACAGAAAAAATAAAATCACACTGGTACAGCGGCATCTCAAATTGCCATCTTAGTGCTTACATGCCTCACAAATGACAACTACATGTTTGTGCTCCTTGCACACAGGTGCTCTGGGAACACCAGCTGCTGACTTTTCTGTCTTTGGCAGCTGGGCATCATTTCAATCATATAATGATTTCAGCTTAAGAATCATTTCAGCATATGAATGATTATGAACTCTTAGGGCTACTAAATGTAAATAAGCTTTAAAAAACAATGTTTTTTTAGTGTAGTTAACATTAGCTAGTAGGGCTGGGTAATAAATACCGATTTCTCGATATTAATCGATTCTCATTTTTACGAACCAATATCGATTCTTAAATCTCAAGAATCGATTAGTCATCCTGTTTCATTTGAATGAATGGGACATTGTATCGCGGCTGCGCACATCCAAAAAAAATGCAATAATCTTTGTCCTTTGTTACTATTGATATGAAACAAAGTCTCAAATTTCAAATTACGTGCATTTTCTTTAGAAATTCAAAAACATAAATAACGTTTTGGCGCTGTGGCGTGAGATCGCTCTGGCGCAGCTCAAGAGAAGCAGCAGCGCTGATCTCTCTTCCGGGTTAATAATACCAGTTACAGCGCGAAATAAACATGAGCATCTGAAAGTGTGTTAAAAGATAGAGTACAACTTATCGAAATCCGTATCATGTCACATTGATTCGCTCAATCAGCATTTCAACCGTGGAAAGACTTCAGTTAAACAGCTTGTAATCAATGTCATGTATCGTTGTATTTACCTCAGAAAACCCACATAAACTCGTTAGTCAGCTAGAAAAAATAACTCTAGAGAGGAGCATTTTGCTAAATATATACATATTACATATGCATTATAATCTTAATGTTCTTCAATATTTAATGCATATTTGAATAAATCTGGCAAGTTTTTTTGACAGCCACCATTTAAATGTTTATATTTCATATAATCTTCTTATTATAAAAATAAATAAAAGTGTAATTTAAGTGTTTGTATAGCTACAAAACAGTTATTACCTTCATATTAGGCTAATGAAGCCTAGGTTAGACTCCCATAGTTTTCAGCATTTAAGAGATTTGATTCCCTTGAGAAAAATTGCCATTAATTGTAACTGATATCCAAAATAACCGATATTGAATCGAATCGAATCGTAATCGAAATCGAATTGAATTGCAAGCTTGTGAATCGAAATTGAATCGAATTGTGAAAATTGCCTCAATACCCAGCCCTATTAGCTAGCTAGAATATGTCAACAGCTAGCTAGCTAATAGTATTGGACATGTTTCTCCTTCTCACAAGTAATTTCTCACTATGATTACAAGGTCAATGTAACCATAGCCTAATATTCAAATATTATGTTGTTATCTTTTACAATATATAAAAAATGTCTGTGGTTAAAATAAAATAAGATTAATAACAATTTTTGACCCATGTATGTAAAATTGATGTAGAACTTAAAAAAAAAAAAACTAACATAATGATTTGTGGAAATTAAAAACAAGATATTTCATGAATACCTGGAATAAGAAATGATTAAAAAAACATATTTTAAATTAAAGATTCAGCAAAGAAACACTCAGCCATCACTGAAATAACATAGCAAATGAATCTGGGTCATTTTAGACCCATGTATGTAAAATTGATGTAGAAATACAAAAATTGTGTTTGTTTATAAAGTAAGAAAGGAAACATAAACATAATGATTTGTGGAAATCAAAAACAAGATATGTAATGAATACCTGGAATAACAAATGATAAAATACATATATTTTAAAGATTCAGCAAACAAAACACTCAGCCATCACTGAAATACCATAGGAAATGAATACGGGTCTTTTTAGACCCATGTTGCGCATTAGAAGGGTTGCTATACAAAAACTATTTTTATTCAAAAGTAAGAAAGGAAAAATAAAAATAAGGATTTGTGATGATCAAAAACAAGTTACTTGAGGAATACCTAGAATACCAGCCCATTCTCACTCCCAAGGCGTCACCTAACTGACGCCTTGGGAAGCATTTGGACATGCTTCAATATCTGACGCTTTAGGCGCCCTTTAGCGTCAGTTAGATGACGCCCTAGGATCGCGTGTACCCTACCCCCACCCCACACCTAAACCTAACCGCGTCCTCTAACAGACGCTTTCCTTTAGCGTCAGTTAGATGACGCCGTAGGATCGCGTCATGTAAGTGACGCTAAAGGGCGCCTAAAACGTCAAATATTGAAGCATGGTCAAAGGTGACGCCTTGGGGTGAGAATGATGAAATTAATTTCTTGCAAAGATATAGAAAATGAAAAATCAGTCGGGTCTGTTTAGACCCATGTTGTGCATCAAAGGTTCTTTTTAGACCCATGTTGGACATTTTTGTTCTTGGAATGCTAGAAATCAACATTCCTAGAATGTTGAATTTTAAATCAAAATTAAGTTGAAAGAACGTTTGAGGAGTATTAAACACGTTCCTCTAACGTTAAGAAAACTGGACATTTTTCACGTTCCCAGAAGCAACACTGAATATTTGGAGAACGTTCTGATACCAAAAGTCTGTTAGATGGGAGTGTACTTGATTAAAGAAGATATCGTTTGGTCTATCTATTGGAGAGAAAACCAAAGCCGTTTTCCTGCCCTAGCTCTTGCATGTAAATATCTTGCCATACCAGCTTCCTCTGCACCTGTTGAGAGATTCTGTTGAGTTGCAGGAAAGATATTCAGACCAGAACAGCGCAGACTCAGTGATAAAGCATTTGAGGAGCTATTGAGAATTAGATGCTCAGTGACTTTTGCATTGGAATACATGATAACTGCAAGGGTATGTGCTATTTGATTTCTAACATAGGAACAAAACTAATTAAACAATATTGAGGGGGTAATTTTATTTCAAGGATTTGGTCATTATCTATATTTTAGAATAAAATGTATGCAGGGTTGAGGAGTAACTAGTTACATGTAACAAAATTATGTTATTAAATTACAAAATGTAATTGTATTTAGTTGTGATGGACTCTGCACAACAAGATTGAACTAAAAGGTAATACTTATTTATCTTTATATATTTATCAGGTTTACTATTTAAGGTAACACTCAATGTCCCACATTAGGATATAAGCTGTTTATTATATAAAGCACATTTGAATGCTTTATTCCACAAGTAAACATTACTAACTAATAAGCAGTAATTAGGAGTTTATTGAGGCAAAAGTCAAGTCCCCGTGAAATCAAAATTGACTTTGTTAGCGCATATTATAGTCTTGTTGTGAACAATTAATCCGTGCAAGTAAATATATATTAAAAAAAGGTTTTACCTTGGTAATCTTTAATCAAAATCTAAAAAGTTACTTCCGGTCTGGAACGGTTTCTTTTTCTGATGACGTAGGTTTCACAGTTTGGGTGGGGAAACGCTTAACCACTCCCCTCAAACCGTTAGTTTGCTATGAGCGAGAGATGGAGAGGAGGAGCGCTAGAGTAAAACCCTGCCCTCTGTTCAATATTCCGTTTCACTTGGAAATACGTCACAGCACTGGAGAAAAATCGTTTGCAACTTCCGGTTCACAGGGACTTTAAAGGAGTAGTTCACTTTTACAAAAAACTTTTGCCGATAATTTACTCTCCTCCATGTCATCCAAGATGTCCATGTCATTTGTTCTTCAGTCGAAAAGAAGTTTTATAAGCTCAAACGCTCGCCTTGCTCTGTTCTGTGATGAGCGTTCGTGACTCTCGAACTTGTTTATCAAAATGAACAAATCTTTTTTTGTGTCATTTGGTTCATTCAACGAACGAAATGAACGAGTTGACTCGGGAAAAGATTTGTTCATTTTGATGAACGAATTCGAACAGGAGAGTCACGAACGCTCACAGAACAGAGGAAGATGAGTATTGTACTTATAAAACTTAAACTTTATTTTTTAAATGAGCGATCGTTTCGCTTTATGAGACCCTTATTCATCTTCTGGAATCATTTAAAGCCCTTTGAACAGTTTGCACTGTAACTGTCTTTTGGACCTTGAACCGTTTGGTTACCAGTAAAGTCCATTATATGGAGAAAAATCCTGGAAGGTTTTCATCAAAAACTTTAATTTCTTTTCGACTGAAGAAAGAAAGACATGGACATCTTGGATGACATGGGGGTGAGTAAATTATCAGCAAAAGTTTTTTTAAAGTGAACTTTAATAGTTAATAGTTTAATAGTTAGTTAATAGTGTGAATTCGACCCTAAAGTGTGAATCGAAAGTGTGACCCTTTTTCTGTCAGGGTGCGGTGCAGGATGAAATGAGGACTCAAGGCAAAAGGCTAATTCAAACATTTACTAAGTATAAAAATAAGGAAAACTGATACAGGCAGGTTGACAGGCAGATCCACAGAAAACAAACCACGGCATTAACATGTGCTAACATACACATTGATAACAAAGACTGACTGAACAGAGAAACTAAACACTGATACAAATGAACCATAATGATGTGAAGACAGGTGACACAGCTCACCCCCAAGGCGTCACCTAACTGCCTTGGGAAGCATTTTGACCATGCTTCATTATCTGACGCTTTGGGCACCCTTTAGTGTCAGTTAGATGACGCCGATCGCGTGTAACCCTACCCAAACCTAAACCTACCCGCGTCCTCTAACTCAGTGTTTCCCAAACTTTTTTTCTAGGGACCCACATTTTAAAGTCGATAAATCTTTGTGACCCAATAAACGGCCCATTCATATATCACGAAGAGAATGTATGCATTAACAAAAAATGTCTATGACCATTTTTAAGGTCAGTTAATCTTCCAGTTAACTATTTAAAAGAGATACAGATATTTGACAAAGCACATTTTTTTATTAACCTGTTGCTGACAATAAGCGAAATGCAGAGGTGAAATGAGAAAGGAAGAGTTGACAGGGCATCTCATTGTTTTCATATTCTCATCATTACAGTGTACACAATTTACTAGAATAATTATTATAGGCTTAAATTAAAATATCCTGAGAGTGAGACTTTGTAACCATGCACACTGTATAAAAAATGCCTAAACAGGTAAAAAACTATACACACAATTAATTATATATTCTTTTACCCCCTAATAAATCTAATGCAATATAAATGACTATAACGTAGTATTCAATATAAATATTCCACATTTATTGGGGATGTTAAGGCTGTTTCATCCGATTTAAAACTAGATAAAATCATTGAGTGATTTGTGGTTTTTAAGAGAGAGGAGTGTCCGATGGAAACGCTTCTCACTAGATGTCACAACGCTGTTTAATAACAGTGTCCGGGACCGGGAGTAAACGCGACTATTTTAAGCTTTGCGTTTCGTTATCCACTGGGCCGTACTGCCTAGTTCAAAGTAAACTAGTGAAACAACTGAAACCAGCGCTGTTTTGTTCTCTATATGTTATTACTGACCAAGAAACCGCTTCAGGTGAACAAATCCGAATCGTTTCAGACCGTTATGCACGTGCGTTTGGCCAATTCATGGAAAGGAAATAATCAAACCAACGAATGATTAATATCGCTGGTTCAGTCGACAGAAATACGGGACACACATAAGAACTGCTGAAATATTCGGACTGTAAACTTTTCTCTCAGGTCAGTCGGAGCGCTCATGGTACACACACAGTGCGTATAGTCGTCCAGCTGAGGCCACGTGCATATCTAACCAAATTTAGCCGCACCACCAGAAAGTAGGAGGAGGGAGGTTGGGGTGCCCTCGGGCCGCATGAAAATGAATGGCGCCAATTGAATAGCCCTGAGAGAGTATATATAGCACACTGAAAAATAGTGCTCGACTTCGCGACCCATTCAAAATCTTGCGCGACCCACTTGTGGGTCAGGACTCCGCCTTTGGGAATGACTGATCTAACTGATGCTTTTCCTTTAGCGTCAGTTGGATGACGCCGTAGGATCGCGTCATGTAACTGACGCTATAGGGCGCCTAAAGCGTCGAATATTGAAGCATGGTCAAAAGGTGACGCCTTGGGGTGAGAATGCGTTGAACGAGGGATAGGCTGGACTGAGTTCAGGTGTTGAGACAACGAGGATTCTGGGAAGTGTAGTTCAGAGACAATTGGTGCAGACGAAGACTGTGACAATTTCATTCTTTTCATTCAGAATTTAATAAAAAAAACGTATTTGTTCTTTACTGGATACAGTATATGTTGTACAATAAGATTTTTTGCTCTGATCTGATTTTTTGTATTTGTTTACACAATACATATAAATTGAATGCGAAGAAATCTTTGTTAATCTATTTCAAAATCACAGGTCAACAAAAAATGTATTTGCTTAGAGAGCAAAGTCAGCAGTTACAAGCATTACAAATGTTAGATTTATTTTGACATTTTTTAAATGTTTTTTTTTTTGTGTTTCTTTTTTTAATTTTGGGTTGTTAAATACAACCGTTCTTCCTCTTCTGGGTTGCTTTCATCTAGAAGAAAATTAATAATAAAATAAAATAAGAAGAAATAATAATACAATAATAAGGATACGAAGATCAATCAGATAACATAGTGTAAAAGTAACACTGTTTAATGTAGTTTAATGTAAATAACTTTAAACACAGAAATGGAAAATATAATCTCACCTTCATCCATTGGCTGGCTGCACAAAAGATAAAAAAAAGTTTAATTTCACATAATAATGATGACGTCTGACATGTATATTACCTTTAGGACTTCTCAAAAATAACTGTTCAATGACAAAAACATTCACAATGAATGAAGAATGTGCCACAAATTATAAAATTCAAATTAAACGATGGAAATGAAGGAGATACTCCAGCATACCTTGGCATGGGCCCTGGTGTGCCCTGCAGAATTAACAGTTCATTTAATATTTGTTTTTACAAAGATCAATGGCAAGTTTACTTAAAAAATTAATAAAACTTTAATTTGCTTACCCCCAGCAGTCTCAGCGCAAAATGCAAACAGTTATTGTTGAATAAATGATATTCTCTGCTGTCGTCCATCGCAGCGTTAATCTTTTCCTGGAGGTCTCGAGGGCGGCTAGTTGTCAAACGGAGAACATAGCATTTCTGACCAGAAATGAAGTTCTTCACGCTTACTTTGTCCACTTGTCCAGTTTGTCGTGATAATGTTTGACTCTGTGAGGCTGAGCTAAACGTTGAAGGAGGTTGGTTCGGTTTGGCTGAAAAACACAATGTAAAATTTTTAATGTATATATAGAACTACTATAAACTATTATACTGAAAAGTATTGTATTGTTTCATTGTGGTTGAAAATATTGACACACATAATTCGTTTTTTTGCAAATAAGTAAAAAGATGCGCACACAAATTCACAAAAAGGAAGATGATATTTCTTCCAAACTGACCATTATGTTTTTAATGCTTTCACCAGAACTACAGAGGTTGGTATCCCTCCATATTATGAAGTTCTGAGATAGGTGGATCAGTGAGACATCCAGAGTGTACTGAGAGTGTGCCATCATCCTTCAACAGGGTTGGCAAAAAATGATCTAAAAATATTTAGCTCAAATATTTGTTTTTGGTCACTGCTGCATAATTAATTATGCAGGAATTATGCAGGAATTCCTATACTATTATTTGTGTTGCATAGTTTTGATGGCTTAATATTGTAAAACAATTGGAAGCGTGTCATTTTTTGGTTTACATATACATATTTATGTGTGTTTGTCTCTATACTATTACTATGCGTGCTGCAAACTGCAAAAACAGAACCAAACTATTTAAAAGTAAAGCGGAAAGCTCATTGGCTGCAGAAAAGGCAGAGTAATCTACTCAAGCCATGTTAGATGATGTAATTGATTGTGTAATTACATTAAGAACATGTCAGCCTGTGCCATCTAGAATTTTATTACTGAAATATTGAGAGTGATTAAAGAGCTCATACCTGAAAACTGAATGACATCATTTTGTCCACAGAAAATTCCGGCATGGTAAATCTTTTTCTTCGAGCCAAGCACTTTCCTAAGAATAAGGTCTCCCATCTGAAGATTTGATGTATTGAAATTGCCATCATTGGATTCTATTATTGTTTTGAAGTTCCCGTTGCATCCAAGTATCAAGGTCATAATGTTTTTGAAATTGTCCATTGTTTTCTAAAAATTAAAAAATGTTTTAAAAAGGCGATTATTTACTTTCAAATGAAAGAAATCCGTGTCATGTTAGGTGTCCTTAACTACTATCTTGCATCAAAGTTATGTACAATGCTTATTTAGTTGAGGTTGTATCTCAAAGCACTTTTGCTATATTAAGATGGGATACAGGTGTAAAGTTGTGTGGTCGATGGGTTAAGAGATAAGGGAAAAATCAAAAGTGTAATTATTGATGTAATTACAGAAATTAATTACACATGTAGCAGGATTTTTTTTTAAATATAAGCACAATGTAAACGTATATGCATGTAACAATAAATGCATTGAATCAAATGATCAGTTACAGTGCTATTGTTAATTACATAAAAAGTGGGTCTGAAATCTGAATTACATTGTTGTTCTAATTTAGTTTAATTGTATTAAACTTAATTGTTAGTTTAATCTTCAACAATCTTCAGGTCATACTTGTTGTTTTCATGATTGTTGTTTCTCAGAAATTCACAGTGATTTAAAATGTTTTGAATCACTAAATAAAAATTTTTACCCCCCCCCCCCCCCCCCCCCAAAAAAAAAGTAAATATTACTTACAAACAAGCTTTTTAAAGAGTCCACTGGGGAAGTTTCTGTGTGAAATCTGCAAGAAAACCAGAACTGTTCCAGTTCTCTCCAGATCAAACCAGATCTTCTAAGTGGGCGTTGTCATGAAAGGTATACTTTCTTTTTTTCTCTTTATTGTCATAAGAAAACCCCTTACTCGGTTTTAATTTAGGCACTTCAACATTTACCCTGAATAAAATCTTTTGTTGTAAAATAGCACCAAGAAATGGGGTCAGGATTGTTGCATTATTCCAAATAAATAGATTAAGATATATATTTATCACAAATAAATATAAAACTCACAAAATAAAATGAGATTTGCAAATAAAATAAAAACATTTACAAATCTGTTTTATATCACAAACACAAGCATTTATTTGTGAACCGCTTTCTGTGCATTTGTAAATCTCACGCATTTGTGGATTTTCATGCAGACAAAGCCATAAATAAGTGACTCCAACCCACCGTTTACCATAAGCCAAACAGATAACGGCCACATTGAGCTAGCATGTTCTCGCTACAACCAAGAACTCGATCTGATTAATTTTGCAGATATTGCACCCCTTGCAGACCGATTAAGAGTAAAGAACGGTGCTGTGCCGTCTATATTGGATCTGACAGGAATTGTGCAACACACGGACTCTGGGTCGAACATGTATGGGCGAATCATTCCGGTTGCCATTTTACAACATTGGACGTTTTCAAAACAATTTCCCCCAAATGCATCGACGGGTGAGTCGAAACTCATTGTAATATGCAAAACTGTTATCCACTCACAACAGTGGGCGTTTACTTCCAAGTCTTCAGTGCGAGACGCCCATAAAAACCGAGCGTTTTTCAGGAAGGCTAAAAACTTGGGTACAAAATACTTATTCATTTTGATGTTTTTGAATGCAAAAACCAAGCGAATGCCATAAGTTGACCTCAGACAACAATATAATACAATTAAAAAAGCCAGTTCATGACCCCTTTAAGAACATCTGCAAAGTTACAACGCTCAAAGTTCAAAGCAAAGAAAGATATTTGTATTTAAAAAAAATCATTTTTAAGGACTACAACAAACAGTAAGTCAAGTCAAGTCACATTTATTTATATAGCGCTTTTCACAATACAGATTGTATCAAAGCAGCTTTGTAGGGACACCAAGTTAGTTAGTGACCTAAAATTTACATAAACAGGTGAACAGGAGAGTCCATGTTGAGAAGAGGAAGAGTTGTTGAAGTCAAGCACATTTGTGAGTCAGCTCAAGCTGTCGTATCAGCCTTTATGCAATACAGTGCGTAACATAAATGCAATAGCATGCCACTCTGTAGACATCTTACCACACTCCCCACACAAGCGAATTTTAAAGATTATTATGAAAGAATATGGTAATCAATGACTTGAAGATAGTTAACTCCACATCAGCAACAACATACATTCACCCACTAAACATTCAGAAACGACCTGTTGCATTTTTGTCACTTCTTCTTGAGTCTCTACATCATTGTCCGACTCCAGATTAAACTTAAAACGCAGAACAGTTTCTGACATTTTAGTGTGTGTCTGCGTGAGGTAATCACAGCTGTAACACACACAAGCTCTTTAGTCTCCGCCCTCTGTTTTTGCTCACCCTTAAAAAGGGACAAATTTTACATACTGTAAAAAATGATCTGCAGGGTATTTTGAGCTAAAACGGACATCAGAGACTTTACATCGTGTGCAAAGGGACATTACACCTCCCATTTAAAGAGAGCTGCATTATTCCTTTCATGTTTTTTGTCTGGTGGATGATAAAAATTTAAATAAAATACTGTAAAATACCAATTTCAAGACAGATGTAATGCTGGTGCCAGTATGTCTAGTCGACCACTCAATGTGGCCCTCCTGGGAATTAACACATGGACTATCTCTTGAATATGTAACTGCGTCTTGCATATGTAACAGGAACTTTGGAAACGCAGCGCGCAGTGCAGTTCACACCTCACACTATCTCCCCCACATCCCCCTTCTCCTCCTCATCTGAAATACACTGAAAACTTAAGCAATGTCATGTGTGTACAAAATGTAACCATTCATGTTTGGTGTCTTTTAAAGTGTCACAGTACGCCTGGTAAAATGGTCTCATTCTGCCAACTATGATGAAAAGCTAAAATAAGTTATGAAATATAAAAAAGTGATGTCCCTTAATAGGCTTCAGACTACCTCCTGTAAAATCAGGCAGACCTCACAGTGTGAGCTCCTGAATACACAACCAAAATTTAATTATAATGAGACATCACCGTTTGGTAATAATTGAATTATCTGGGTTTATAAGGAAAAGGAACAGAAAGGTCCGGGGAGTCTAAAGGTTGACTGCCCGCACAAAAGCTGTGTGTAACTCTATTGACAGGTAATAATTTCTACAAATTCTATGATTTCGGAACCATTGTTATGAACAATGACGATTTTATCCTTTCGAATTGTATTTTGAATTATTGCTTCATTACCTGTTCAATAAATTGTAAACGTTTGATTTTATTCTGAGTGACACTGAGAGATCGCTTTTTCTTAGATCATCGGATTCGAATATTTCCACATCTTTAGCGTCAGATTAGTGACGGCTAATTTCCAATACCATTTTAAGTGTACTTGAATGGGGGACAAGCTATTTTCGACTAGAATCAGCAAACTCTGTTTTTAATCAACCTAGTTTTGGGTGTGTCCACATCTACTGTTTTAAGTTAGTGATTCTTTTGGATAAATGTGCATGGTTCTCAGACCGCGAGTTTGACCTGAAGCCATTTTAAGAAGAGTGGAGTTGATTAACGATTTTCTTTCATGGTGGTCATTTCGTCCCCACCAAAGTATATAACGTGTGAATTTGAACTGAATTTCAAATATTCATGTTGCTGAATTTCATGTTTTAAATATCATCAAAACATTTTTATTTGAGACTGATGCAGATATATTTCCTGCTGTACACTAAATGTCTTCAATAGGAGGGGCGCCAAAATATGCTGAACTAATGAAACTGATTTCTGTTTCCCCGAGTCATTCTTGTTAACAGCACAGATGTGAGATCCTCCTCCTTTCCAATCCATCATAAAATCATTCACCACCACCAAACCTTTCACACATTCACACGCAAATCCACCCACACGGACCCTCATTTGGATTCACTTTTTTTGACTGCAACCAGGAATGACTGGCACGTCCACAGACACACCCGTCGAGACACTTCAAGCCGCAGCTCGCAGGTCCTTTTATCTCAAGAGTGTGTGCTTTATATCTCCTCTCCTCTTCACCGCATCAGTGGTATTCATTGCATCCAGACACGGTCAGATTGGATCCTACCAAACCCGATGCCCCAGGGTGCCACAGAAAGACCAAATACCAGCAGATTCCTTGGCGAATCACTGCCAGGAGACACTTTAACCCTTCACAGAGATATGAATAAAGTTTAGCTTTGTAGTGAGACCTATTGCTTTCAGGTTCCTGCACAGCATGTATAGGCCTCAAAGGGAAAGTGTTTTATTTCCAGGTTTGCATTATTCCCGAATGTTTCCAGGGGGAAGAATAAGAGAGAATGGTTTCAGAATTCCAGATTTTAACCCCTTGGGCAGTGCGGTTAAGAAAAGGATGGATTTCCTTATATATACCACGGCGAGGCCGCCTGGTTATTTCCGTAGTGCTCCTCATGGGAATTGTGAGCTGAATTTTTATTCTTTTGTTTTGGCTGGAATTTCAAAGCACAAACATGTGGTAGTCATTCCAGCACGGGCTCGGAAGTTCACTGTCCTAATAATGGGCAGTTAAGACAAACAAACCCCTAGAGTAATGAAAGAAACCAGCCGTCTACTTAAACCGGGGGCCAAGATTCATTTCCCGGTCAGGACGGAGAATTAGTGGAGCTGACAACCATCAGTTTATCATCAGTTTATTTTATATTTAGCAATTTGACAGAGACATGAAAGATACATTTTATTGAAAAATGTAAGAAGAAAAACAGATTCCCTTTTGAAGAACAAAAAGGTGGCAAAGTGTGTACTGTTATAGACCTCATTTTGTGAGTGGCATCCTTATCTTGGATTATAAATCAAGTTAATTTACTTTTTTTTAAAAAGAATTATGTGGAAAAAATACATTTCTACCATTCTTACACCATTGGCATATCACAAAACATAATAACAAATTTCCACCTCGTCTGCCGTTTAAAATACGTCTGAAATATCGTGAAATAATATTTATAAATATAAAAACTATTTTATTAATCAGGTGAAAAATAGGTGTTTTTTTGAGGACATGTCCTCTTTATCTTTGTTTTTTGTTTTCTTTTCTGGATCGTAAAGGACAAAAATGGTAACAATCTTGCGCATGCGCATTGCTTCTCATGCAGTCAGTGACGAGTCGACTCACGAGGCAAGAAACATTATTCGCGGAGTTGA